GAGGGAGAGCGGACTCTCTCCACTCTCAACCGTACCAGGGCATTTGGGAGCGAATGCACATATATCAATGAAAGTTAGTTAGATTTACTCTGTGTACGAGGTATAATTTAAACTGTTGTTTCTCGTTTTCCAGCTTCTATACACGGTTATATTCGTGGCCATGTATATATATATCACTTATTCAATACCACTTTTTTATTGATAGTCAAGTTTATTTGAACTTGAAACATCCATATAATCTTTATTCATATTAAATGTTACCGTTTATCATGATAAATAACTTTCAAATCATTGAACATCTATATATTTATTTCACTATTATTATTATGTTTAGAAAATGATTGACAACGAGAATAATAGTCGTATTCTTATTCCTCGTTTCACTTATTTTAATAGTTATAGTGAGTTAATCGAGGCTGCATCAGTTTAACTTTAGTCAGATAATTATTGAAATTTAAGAACTACTGAGTAGATGTTTTGTCCTATCATTGAGTACTTCAACAGTGTGCATCCACAGTCCCCCTGGATCGTATGCAGGACCTTCGGTTTCCTACCATGCGCTTAACCTCTGAACCACTAAGCTGACATTCAAGAGTTTAGATGTTTAATTTCAATCAGTCCTCGATATTACACAACCATTTCTCACTGTTATTATTGAGCAACTAACCGCCACACACCCGATATGGTTGAATCCCACTAGTCATGGCTTCTCACTAGAACCTCTGGAATTACCTTTCGAAATCAATCATCAGTGAGCAAATGATCAATAATTATTAATATCAGGTTTGTAGGGATTGTTGATGTTCGACACCACGAACTGACCCTAGTTAAATAGACATTGGTGGAGAAGATTTGTCGCTCAGGTGGATGATTTTGATAGAGCTCAGAGAACAAAACTCCATTAAATAGACATTATTTGTGGTTTAGTATGTTATGCTTGACACTAAATCGATTCCGCGGTAACGAACGAAAGCCAATGACACAATGACACGATAAGCTATTCTAATCGGTTGTCCCAGGCCCCGCTAACTAGATGAAGAAGTCCAAGGCAAGTAGGGGAATATATATGTATTCCGTAAGCAGCCGAGTACAAGCAATCAATTAAGGGGAAAAGTCAAGCGCATTTATACAGTAACAAATTGTCCTTGAGCATCATTAGTAAATAGCACACACAAAGAAACAATGGACCAATAGCGGTTAAGATAGTTTACAGGTGGGAAATATGACGTGAAGGTAAAAAGAGCGCTTTTGGCGCGAAAACAGCTAAATTCAAATTTTCAAAATAAAACTACAAGATTAAGCCATTTACCAAGTAAGTTCTGGGGATTTGACATCCCCAACACCTCCCCTTTTTAAGAAATCCGAGCTCCTCCTCCCCCACGAAATAGTGTTGGATCCTCATATACCCAATTTTCTACTAATGCGATTCTATTTATAACATGTTTCTGGCATTCAATAGGGAACCTGCTCAGATTGACTGGATGGTGAGGATCGACATTTGATGTGAGGTCAGAATTTGATTCTGCAGAAATGTAGTCATTAGACTTATTGCAAACATCACTGGCAGGTTGTGGATCACTATGATAACCAGTGTCCAGCAAAACTGCGCTAGGTTCCGGATTTGATGCATGTAACAAATTTCCTGGACAAGCTTGGGAATCTTTGGCATTAGATTCGGTAAAAATTTCCATTGCAGAATGCGATTCGCTCGGTGTGCTGCACGATATGATGTCTGGCACTTCGTGGGTGATTGGTGCGACCACTTCATGAGCTTTTAACATAGCATCGTGTTGATGAGAGCTGAAAGCGTCATTGATAGGACCTGCTAATTCCAGGATAGTGGGGTTTGAATCCACTACCGGGCATGTTGCTGAAACGGATAGTGATGGACAACCGGGCATGTCTTGTGATACTGCAGTTTCGTTTAGGTTGCGGCTTGTTGAGGAATCATAGGGGCTGCGATCATTTGCTAGCTCTGTGTGCAATTCAGAGATTAATACATCCACTTCTGACGCATATGTGAAGCATTGATGATCCAGAAACTGTGTACGTAGTTTGACCATGAACTCCAAATGTCGGTCAAAGAGCAACTGTAAGCGGTCAGAAGGGAGCGTCATTTTTCACTTTTGTCCCCGTCGCCAATTGTTATGCCTGAAACTAAATCGATTCCGCGGTAACGAACGAAGGCCAATGACACGATAAGCTATTCTAATCGGTTGTCCCAGGCCCCGCTAACTAGATGAAGAAGTCCAAGGCAAGTAGGGGAATATATATGTATTCCGTAAGCAGCCGAGTACAAGCAATCAATTAAGGGGAAAAGTCAAGCGCATTTATACAGTAACAAATTGTCCTTGAGCATCATTAGTAAATAGCACACACAAAGAAACAATGGACCAATAGCGGTTAAGATAGTTTACAGGTGGGAAATATGACGTGAAGGTAAAAAGAGCGCTTTTGGCGCGAAAACAGCTAAATTCAAATTTTCAAAATAAAACTACAAGATTAAGCCATTTACCAAGTAAGTTCTGGGGATTTGACATCCCCAACATAGTATTACATTGATTTTGTATATTATAACTTATCTAATACTTATCATCTAGCTTTTAATGAACAGTTCTTTTACATATGAAGCTAAATTGTTTGCATACATCAAAAATGTTACTCTCTCATACTGTAATTCTTATTGGTGAATATCAGTTCAGCTTTTCTTTATTCATTACATCTGTAAATAAAAGCAGATTTATTGTGGTTGCCTGGCAAGTAATCTTCTAATGGTCTGTATGTAACACACAGTAAGTATATTGTTGTATACACAACTGCATCATCATAAGCGTTAGATTACGAAATTATGCATAATATTTAAACTGAAATGTTTTAATTCCTAAAGACATATGAAATTTATAAACTAGATCAAAAGCTAAACAGTTTGATAGTTGCGGATTATATGATCGACAGGTCTTCTTACCTATTAAAACTAAATAAATTATCAGTTGCAATATCATGCATCATAATATTGAACACTTCAATGTAGAACCATTAAAAATCAATGAACACTGAATAGCTAATCCATGCTATTTAAGAATTCAGTATTATGAATGAATGATTTGTGAACTTAGTTTGAACACTAGATTCCTTAAAAAGGAGTCTCACATCACCACTTCACTGTTTTGTAAAATAGAAATAGTAGGTCAAATGCTAAATGGTTGCTTTTCCTTATTCTTTACCAAGCAAATCGTTTTTTTTTAATATTACAGGCCATATCAACCATGACTACTACATATTTTAAAAAGTAAAGATTATTAATTAATTCCCTTACATGTAAATACTCCTAGATTACCACACTTATGTACAATAAACATATTAATTTCCGACTTTTATGTCTCTAACCCATTTTATTTTTGTCTTATTGTTTCCGATGTTACTTACTCAGCAGTTCATTTCCCTCAAATATTGTGCTGTAAAAACAAGCGTATTATTTAAACTCAGAGCTTTAGATTATGGTGTAAATTGGACATTTTGCATGTATGACTACAACTCTTGGAAGTCACCTTTACTGATGGCGGTTATATATCTCAAACACTTAGGCTCAAATCTTATTAGTGCATTGTGGTTTTGTTTTTTATTTACGTATTTAAAAAATGTATTGTACAAACGTTTATCTAGGAACTCTAAAAAAGTGCTATATATTTTTTCACTTGATACTATTTTAAGACAGTGGTTATGATGAATTGTTACATATTTTGGTGTTTGCAAGTGGCTTACAATGACGAAGGTATTTGCAACTTATGATACGGTGGTATAGAAAATTTCCATTAGCTTAACATCCTGTGGCCATAGTCTATCATTGTATCAATGCACTTCTTAGTATCTCATTTTTAAGAAATCAGTTTATTTATTTATTTGAACACATAAATATTAGTACAAGGGGGCACCAGATATATATACGCCACACAAAAAATTGTCATTTCATTTAATCGTGTGTGGGCTATGATACTGCCCGGGTACCCATACCAAAACAGGTAGTTTTCCTAAGGGGCCATACCTGGAGCCTTCTACCTAAAGGTCTGATGTACAAGGCAGTGGAGCGTCGTGAGAAGATGCAGTTCCATGATAGCCGGTGACCAACTATTGGTTCATACGCCATTTGTTTCCTCAGGATACTGGAACCCATGTGCTCGATTGGTTTGTAATCAGGGTTTTCCAACTACCCTAGGTGGACCCTCCGTTTCCATCAACCCGATTGAAGCGCAGGACATTCGCTTTTCGTCCTCTCAATTTCGTAAACAACACTCCTGGTGCGAGAAGGGAGTGAGTAGGACTTCCCTGACAGAGGCTGTATGCGCGTTGCTGTATGAGATCATTTCGAGTGAGAAGGTGGGCCTTCTCGACTCTCAGCCGTACCAGGGTATTTGGGGGCATTGGTAGTTAATGCATCAATTTGAAAAATATTCCCTTATTTACTACTATTTTCAAATAATCTTTGAAGTGAATGTTATTTTTACTGTAGAAATGAACACATCAATTATCTTATAGTTGATACTCCAGGCTAGATTTTGATCATTCTTTTATGGCATGTATTTATCCTGTGCTAGTTGCCATTATAACACAACTTTGAATGGAAGATGTGGTTAGTAGCTAGTAGTGGAATCCTTAATGTACGTTTCGCTCTACTTGGAAGTCATACCTGTATCTCCGTATTGATGCTCATAACTGAACTCGAACTCAGCGACCCTCGTTTGGATCTTTCAAGGGGTTATTCACTAAGTCACTGAATCCAAATAGCCACGCAGTTGTCCAGTGGATATGATATCTATTTTGTTGCTGTGTTCGAATCATAGTGTATACGTCAACACTGGGATACATATACATCCAGCTCCCGAGTCCCAAACAAGATGAAGTACGCCCCTTATTGTCCGTTTCTACCTCCAACACATCTATTGATTGAGAATATTCTTGTCATATTTTTAATACTAACTATTTATTTATCTATGTTTTGATAGATACAGTATTTCCTGCATCGGTCAATCAGGGTCAGTATAAACGACCTAGAATTCTATGGGCTGGTTATTTTTGTGTACCAGACTTATCATCTATTCCAAATAACCTCTCTACACTTCGAAAATCTGAAACAATAATGAATTCTAATATTTTTATCACCGCTGGACCAGATGCTACTCCGGACTTGGATTCAATTATACCTAATGTAAATTATTTTTTACTGTTGTTTATCATTAATAATTTTGTCCCTCTACTTACTTTTTTGTGTATAATTAAGTTAATGAAATTATTTAAACGACTGTGTTGACTCTATTCACAATTCACTCACATAACCAGTCCTTAAAAATTTAAACAGGATAGATTTCAATAGATTAATCTACTGACTAACTGAATCAGATTATATAATTAAGGAATTCAAGATATTTTTTGAACTATAAATAGCTTTTCAGACCAATCAGTGATGAAAATCCTAGTTGCATAACAAGCAATTGCTTTTCAGTGTTGTCTTTCTTACCACTAATGTACTATCATACTCTTCAAATACCAACTATTATGTTACTTTAAACAGTGGAGCGTTGTTTTTTGTATTCGGTTATTATGAGACTGTGAAGAAGTTATAAGCTATATCCTGAAGATTATTTCACATTGTTTTTTTAGTATATTAAATGTTGAATAATAAAAGGTTGTTGATTGATGTCAAGGCAGACCTATGCTTCAGTGGGTAAAATATTCAACTCCAAATTATTGTATTTCAAAAAAATATATCAAATATTATTTCAATTATTTTGATTCCTACTATTAAATAGTAAATTTAGCCCCATGCCTCCGAAACGATTCTGTGTTAAACAAAGATGGATAGTGGCTAGCAGTGGGATCCAGGACGCGCGTTTCATCCTATTTGGAACTCGTCAGCTGGATGTACCTGCGTCTGAGTTGATGTTCACTCTGGGACTCGGACCCAGTACCTTTCACTTCAAAAGTCATCGCGTTATCCACTGAGTCCTGATAGCCACTTGCTTGTGAGATTGGGTAAAGTTTAAATTCACTTGGTATTGTTTGTTTGAATCTTCCCATCGATGTTTAGGACTGCAATTGATCAGTCTCTTATTGGTATATGTGCATACTGTGCGTATTGCCTCGATATAACCTTAATTCACAAGCATTATAATCGAAGATGGATGGTGGCTAGTAGTGGGATCCAGGATGTGCGTTTCGTCCTAACTAGGTGGATAACGCGATGGCGCTTATAGTGAACGGTACTAGATTCAAGTTCCAGAGTGAACATCAACTCTGAAATGCAGGTACATCCAGCTGACGAGTCCCAAATAGGACGAAACGCGCGTCAAACTGGATCCCACTGCTAGTCACTATTTATCTTTGCTTATAATACTTGTGACTTAAGGTAATATCGAAGCAATGCGCGCACAGTATGTGGTTATACCAATAAGAGACTGATCAATTGCAGTTCTTAACATCTATGGGAGGATTCAAACAAACAGTACGAAATGAATTTTTATTCTGTGTTAGTATTTATTTAAGCTGGCACGTACTGGTTTATAATATTGTTTCTTAGTCAGCTAGTCGATCGTATAGAAAGTGTATAATAAATATGCCTCAATTGTAAATTGCCAATAAAAACCACTTGTTAGTGAAAACAAATAATGTTTCTTCTTTTTTTATTCCACTTGTTTGTTTGTTTGTTTATTACTTTCACATGAACTTTTTGTTCAGAGAAATGAAAGGAAGAAAATGTGTCTGTCTATTCTTTTCTTTTTTTTCAGAAAGTAATAAAATGTAGAAACCTAATTTTAGTGGAGGTATTTTGCAGTTTATTTACATCATAAACCAACGTTATCTGTTAGGTAAAGCAAGAGAGAGAGAGAGAAGGAGGAAAACAGTCAGAAGAACACGGCTGTTTTGTCTCAATTACAAATCACCTGTTGGCATTGTCTACACTCATGAAACTAAATCTCGGTTTTCAATAATTTTGTCTTAAATTGATACTAGCTTGTTGAGATAAGTAACTGTAAAATGTTAAAATTATTTTTGGTAATTTATTTTTAGTGACGTTCAGTAGGTTAAGTGAATTTGAATCCATTGTCTTTAACATCATGGCTTATTAAATAGAAGAGCCGGCTTGCAACAGTAATAAGTCACAAGTTCGAATCCTGTTTCGATTATTTGGATTTGATCAATCAGTTAGTTATTACTAGTTCATATTCAAACCGTTTAACTCAAAGCTAAATGCGTAAATCCCAATTAGTACATATTCTAACTTACCAAAATGAGTATTTACATCAATTTATTTAAACTTTTATAACGGAATAGATGTGTTTCGGTTTCGCTATCACCCCTTGTCTTCCAGCATTCAACTACGCCATGAATAGACACAACAGTACTTAGTTTGGTTGCGATGACAATTTGTCTTACTTCTCTGAATAATGACAAGAGGAAATCATCAAAAGATAGATGCATGTGACCTTGATAGGATGTGTCTGTATTCTAGTAAGTTAATAAAAGAAAAATCAATGAATCATTTATGCGTCACTGAACAATATAAATCTGCTTACCTTTTACAATTATTGAATTCTTCTCCAGTATTTTTGTATAGCCTCCTCTTCATTGTATTTTTTTGGTCCAATAATTGTCACTAGTATTACTATTATAGTAGTATTAATACTATTGTCAAAATCCTACTAAATCAGTTTGATATTCTGACAATAATAGAGCAGATTGTTGTTGTTGCATTTTAGGTAGGTAAGTAGGTAAGTGTAAGCAACAGAAATATACATAACACACGATATCCTGACTCGTTTTTTTTTTAACTTTGAAAGTTTCCAATCGAATTCACTCGTTTAAGTTAACTGACAGTAAAGTTTTATTTAAATAAAGTTATGATCGTATTAAAATTTCAATTAAACTAATCATAACATTCAAATAATAATTATTGTAAATAGATAAGGGCGTATACTCATTCTATTACTGTTGAGTGAACTCAAGTAAAAGGAACTGTATTATAAAGCATTATTGTAAACACTTTCGATTTCTAGACAATAGTGGATCACATATTCGATTCATGTTACGTGTAGCCCATTGGAAATTTCATAGTTGTTTGTTACGATTCAGTGGTTCCAGTACATAATTTTCTTCATTAAATTATCTATGGATAAATCTTATGTACAAATTTTCATCTTCATAAAGTATTTTCACGTGATAACCGAAATCAGTGGCTCCTAAACAATTGCTATATTTTAATTTTAAGACTCATCACTTCTCCTACTATCGAATTAGTAAGCTGAAAATCTTAACATCCAATTTTTTCGAAGGATAATCTAGGAGGCAATATATATATATATATATATATATATATATATATATAACTTTTAAAGTTGTATTCATGGAGAACTTAAAAAATTATTCCCTGAAAAGGAACCATGAAGTTAACCGATTCCAGAATTAAATTTTCAGTCTTCAACGGGATTGAATAAAAATTGTGCTATATAAACGATTGAATTAAAGCCATAATACCTATAATCAGGACTGTGGGTTTCCAGTCTCTATACCATATGCGTGTTTTGTGAACATACATTCGGGTGTAAAGTGAAACAGTTTTCCGTCATCGATGATTTCTTATGATTGTTTAGATAAAATCAATATGTGATAACAATTGCGTTCAAACTGTATGACGTTTTTTTATACACATCGTCCCATATGGTAGATATATGTTTTTGGTAATATTGAGCGGTAAATTTGTTTACATAGTTTTATTAACGATTTTTTGTATTTCACATACTTAAGAGTGTATACATTCTGCTTTTGCATAGAAGTTGAATTATTAGGTTGTTTATTAGTATGTACAAATAAGACAAATGTTTTCAGTATTTTACAGACTGTCTAGCCTTTATATTAAGCACTAAAAGCAATTACATAATGTTAATAATGAATAACCTTGAACTATTTATGCTTTTTCATGTAGATTAAGATTGAAATTTTTTCTTGTTACTGAGCTGTTTAATCTAGTTTAGTATGTTTATCATGTAATTAGGTTAGAAAAATACATAAATAAACAAATCAATATCTAATAATTAGAGAAATATTTTATTTATATACTTCAACACAATTAATAGTAGTATATGTATGTATCATGCATAAATTAAGATTTGTGCGTCGTCACATGGAATATTATAAATTTGATAGTGTTGTTAACCCTATGATATGATGTTCATGGATGTATGCGCTTGAACTCCATCCAAAAACTTTGTATTTAAATGTTAAAGTGTGGATAACATGATTACCCAACGATTCACATTACCATTAGTAATTTACTGTTGTTTTAATGTTTAAACTTCGATTCTTTCATGCCACTGTATTACGATTTGTCTTTTGTTCTCAGTGTTTTAAAGCTGAAATTCGCTTGTGTTGTAAAATACAAGAATATGCAGAAGGAAAATATATTTACTGAGAGAAGTTACAAAATATTTACATAACACATATGCATATCCTTTAATCGTCTATTTTCATCTTTCGCTATGTTCTGCCAACTGTCTTCTCGTCTAGTCTGTAAGTGTTCTGCGAACACCATGCTTTCGATTAAATTTAAAAAGCAATATATATTTCTTGAACCTCTAAGAGTAACTAGTCGCCATTGAATCATTCACGTATCCATCTTTTATTAGGTATAAACTTGAAAAATAAACTATACCTGTTGAGAAAATTAATATGAGATACTGCAAGTCAAAAGTGATCATTACTTATATTGATTAACAAAACGATCGTGCTATTTAAATTATTAGTGAAAAAGGTACATACAGACATTAGTTTGAACTTAAAATTGGAAACTGATAAATTGTTGTAGCGATTTTTCTTATCAAATAACCAGTGTTGTACATAATGAAAGTAATAATTCATAAGATTGAAAGTGATCTTGCAACAATTCATTAATAATTTTAATAGTTGAGATCGTAAATTGAAGCTAGACCACTATGGAAAATCTGGAAGCACTGGACGGCCGTTCCGTTCTATTGTGGGACTCCTCAGCAGTATGCACCTACGATCCCGTCTCGCGATATTCGAACCGAAGACCTATCAGTCTCGCGCTCGAGCGCTTAACCACTAAACCACTGAGTCGGCATCCAATGGTGTTGATATCTAACTTCAACCAATACACGAAATTGAGCGACACATTCACCATTTTCTTCAGTGAGT